GAAAGCCAAAATCGCAACGCGAAAGTTAATTCGCTTTGCGATAGTCTAATACGCTTTGCGATTTTCTCGTTGCGATAGTCAAATTCCCGTTGCAATAGTCAAATTCGAGTTGCGATAGCCAAATTCGCATTGCGATTTTTGTGTTACGATAGTCAAATTCGCGTTGCAATTTTTGAGTTGCGATAATCAAATTCGCGTTGCGATAGTTAAATTCGCGTTGCGATATTCAAATGAATGTGTAATAAGTGATAACAACTGAACAAATCATATCGATGTTCAAACTCAAGTTACTAATACATGCCTAACTGAAAATGTTAAAAGTTTACACATAAAATACACATAATAGTCAAATTCGCGTTGCGATAATCAAATGAATGTGTAATAAGTGATAACAACTTAACAGATCATAGCAATACTCAAACTCAAGTTACTAATACATGCCTAACTGAAAATGTTAAAAGTTTACACATAAAATACACATAATACAACGTTTGCATTTAAAAATCACCTAAGTTAATAGTCCCAAAAGGTGAAGCCGGTTGTGATTGGGATTTTGATTTTGATTGCGATTTTGATTGCCTTTTTCTTGGCACCATATGAGCTTTGGATTTTGATGAGGATCCATATTTTGGTAGAGGAAAAGATGATTGTGATGGCATTGGTGAACCACATGTCAACCTTGTATGACCACTTTCCTTGCACCGACTACATGTCGATCTCTTCTTCTCTTCACCCTTAGACGGTATACGATCGTGACTTTTTGGTCGGCCAGGTAGCCTTCTATCCATGGCTGGTGGCAAAACTGTTTGTAAGTCATCTGGTATGTCCCACTCAGAAGGATATGGAATAGGGTAGATAATCTCGGCATAAGTCTGTCGATATACTTCTGTAGTGTAGCAATCCATAGTGTGTGCGCTTGAATCATCTTGGTTTAGATGAATATCAACTTTTATAACATGGCCACATGGATAACCAGATGTTTGCCATTTCATACAACTACACGCCTTTGCATTTAGATCGACAAGCTCATTTAAGTTATTATCCAGTACTTCAAACAAAGTGTTTGAACATGGTTCAACTCTCCATGACGTTGACTTCACAACACATTTCGTTATCTTTTTTTTTTCAGTCCATGTTGTAACACGATGTTTCAATGTTCCTGTAAATTTAAATAAATAATACTTAGTAAAATATATGATAAGTTACGAATTTAAAGAAATAATACATGCATGGTTTCTTTTCTTGTAGTACCACTGTTGAATAGAGGCTCGAAAAAACTCCATTAACATAGTAATGGGTAATTTCCGGGAATGACGACTTAGAGCGTTGATTGATTCTGCACTATTAGACGCCATGAAACCATATCTTGTTCCAAGTTGATGTATTCTTCACCATCTTTCAAACCCAACATCTTCTAGTGTTTAAGCACACTGAGGCAAAACACGTCTTAAACAATTTATATGCTTATTAAAATCTATTTCCCGATAAGCTTTTACAGCCTTCCAGTATGTCCATTTGTATTTTTTATATTAGCATACCTTGATTTTAGATTTATATACAAATGAACACCACAAAGTCCATGTAAAGCATCTGGGAAACACCTTCTAACAGCGTTGTCAATTGAGTTTACCCTATCAGATATGATTATCAGATTGCTAATAGGACCTATGCAATCCCTAAGATACCCCATAAACCATGTCCATGAATCAGAGGTTTCAGATTTTCCAACCCCGTAAGCTATTGGAAGTATCCCATTGTTAGCATCTATGGCTACTGCTAATAAGTTTACTCCAAGGTATCGACCTTTTAAATGTGCTCCGTCAATTATAATAACTATGCGCATGCAAGTAATAAACGAACGAATCTACAAAATCATATACACAAGAAATATAATCATTTAAATGTGAAATGCATGTAACTAACAAAAATGAGTCAACAAAATTATATTGATTTACTAACCGCAGCACCAATGGCGATAAACAGCAACTCAAAGCGTCCATCTCTATCTGTTTTGATATGAGTTACCGACCCAGGATTTTTCAGCTTTAAATTGTGACAATAAGCCGGAAGTTGGGCAAACGATGCTTCTGGCGACCCCCTCAACAATTCCAAGGCATAACATTTGGCTCTCCAAGCTTGAGAATATGAGATACTAATCTTGAACCGAGCATTCATGTCAGTCATAATTTCATGTCCCCGATATACCCTGCCATTCAAAAACATTAACTCAGCCAGAAAATCACCCAACACCTTTTTGTTTGCCTGTCTATGATGAGGAAAAACTTGGGTTCTTGAACATGTATGTTTATCAATAAAAGTCCTAACTTGAAACATTTCGCAATCTTTTATCTTATTTGCAATCATACGCCACGTACAGTTTTTGTCAATCATACACCTTGTTTCGAAACGATCTTTGCTTGATTTGTTAACTTTTAGTTGATAGCCATCTTCCACACATTTCGTATACAAAGCTATCTTCAAGTCTTCCTTTGTATCAAAACAATCATCTTTCTTGATACGAATAATTTTTGTGTAACAATCAACTGCTATTTTTACTAACTCTTCTTCTGGTATCTGAAGTAATTCTGGCATATTCCAGTTATACTCCCGTGGCATTTTCTTCGGGAACTTTTCTTCGGGGATTTCTTCTTCTTCTTCTTCAGGGTTATATGAATTACAGAATGGATGTTCAACATGTTCATTCACAGTCGTAACTTCCTCCTGATTATCATCAACAACATCTTCCTCAGCAACGGCTGTTTCATCATCAAAATTCGGGTATTGACCAATATCAAAATCATTACACGCAGGGTCTGTTTCTTCTTCTGAAACATCATCAAAATCCGAGTATTGACCAAGATCAAAGTCCAGGTATTGACCAAGATCAAATTTCGAATATCGACTAGTACTCACAATTTTTTCTGTTGGCTCATCATCGTCTAACTGGTTAATACGAAAACCAGAATTTGGTGATGAAAGTTGATTGGGATTTGGATTAGGGAAAGGTTGTGGTTTTTGAGATTGTGTTTGGTATTGGAAATGTGGTGAAACAAAATTTGCTTGGTGATGAAATTGTGGTGGAACCATTAAATTTTGAGCACCATAAACTGGGGTTGAAAAACTTAGTTGATTACGACCCGCTACTGACCCAACTTCACTACTTCTAGGTTCAACAACATACAATGTAACATCATCTTGCGAAACACTAATGTAAGCAATGAATCGTTCAACATCTTCATTGTCGGTTAACAAATAAACTTTACATTTTCTCTGATAAGATAGCCTAAATCAATTAAGGGCTCTAAATTCAATTTATTTGCAACACGTAACATTAGAGTTTCATAAGTTAACTTTTTTAATGACAGTTTTAGTTGAAGATTCATGGGTAAAGGCATATATTGTAAAACACCATGAACATTCTCCCATGACCCTCCAAAACACAAATCTATCCAAACATGATCAACATTAGATGATTTCATTATTGTAAATTAATTTACTAAACAAACGAGCTGTGAAACTAAAACTTGTTGCCGGATGGGGAAGGATGTCGTTGGATATAGGAACGGATGTCGCCGGAGAGAGTGATAGATGGAGATGGAATGAGTTGCGATTTAGGGATTTAGGTTATGAGTTGTTGATGTTGCTTAGTTATATACCCAAAATATTTGTGTTGCGAAACTAAAACCTGTTGCGAATTTGAAATTCAGCGTTGCGACAGTCAGAATCGCGTTGCGATAGTCAGAATCACATTGTGATTATGTATTATCGCGTTGCGATAGTCAGAATCGCGTTGCGATTTACATATTCGCGTTGCGATTTTTGATCGCAACGCGAATTTGGAAAATCGCAATGTGATAGTCAAAATCGCGTTACGAATTTGGAAACTGATTTGCGATACTGGAGATCGCGTTGCGATTTAGAGATCACATTACGATTTTGTTGATCATTTTGGCAAATCGAAAAAAAGTTGGTCAAAATCGTATATTATAAGGAATTTTCGATCACTGAGGTTATTTTCATTAAAATTTATAAAATAATTTTTATTTATTTATATGTTTTAAATTCATCATTCTTTATTAAAATTTTAATGGGCGTCTGAATTGGACACTAACCTATTTACTAGGTATGATAAAAAAATAATCTCAGAACTGTTTGAGTAGTATTTTGTGGATCTAATCTCTATTTACGTAACCATCAATCTTATTATATCTCAACCAGTAGGTTAACGTCAACTCATTCAAAAATAAAATTTTAACGAAAAATGATTAGTTTGGAACATATGAATAGTCAGTGTGATCATTTTGTAAGTTTTAATAGTTACAGAATTCAACAAAGTAATGTAGCATAGTCGAGGGACCATTTTATAACTTCTCATAGTCAAGGGACAAAAAAATAATGTCCTATAATGGGAGGACTATTTGTGTATTTTACCTAAGTTTATATTACAAAGAAATACTTAAGTATATTATTTTTTCATCTAAGTATTTAAAATACTTTTTGATCAAAATAAGTATATAAATTTATCTTTTTAATCAAAATATATACGTCAAATATTTTTTTATCAAAATAAATATTTAAAATATTTAATCTTTTTCATATAAATTCTAAAAAATTTGACATGTATCATTAATTAAAGTATACTTTAAATGAAAATATTGATAAAGAAAAATACTTATGTATCTATTTTGACAAAAAAAATTATATAGTTTAACCAAAACCTACTTTAAATAATAAAGATAAGGTAATTTAAGCACATTTATGATATAAACATTTCTTAAATTAATAACTCGACGTTGAAAATATTGTCGCTTTTAAAAAAAATTTATTTTATTGAAGACTTAACGATTTATGAACAATCAACTACTTATACGGTAAAGTGATAGTACAAAAAATATTTAATACATAAATGATTAAATTTCGATATCTTTATCTAATAATTTGATAAAATTTAAAATTAAGTTTGATTGATGGAATAGAGCTTATAAATTCAGACCAATCAGTAATGTAAAATTGTATATCTAAATGGTTAAAAGTTCTTAGCCGCACCACCAGATTTGATCCCTCTCTACCCAACTCAATAGGAAGAACAATAAGTTGAAGACGAGCTAACAATTCTCAATTTCTTTAGCAACAATGACAAATTCACTAAAAGAAAAAGCAGCAGTATCACTGTCCCAAATGCGGACAATCATTTGTTCCTGAACAAAAATCTGTCCGGTCAGCATGCTCCATCTTCAGACAACTGGATTTCGTCTCCTGTATTTTTTCCATATCATTAGAAGCAGTCAGTTCAAATAATATTTAACCAAATATCTTCATTCTTCGGCATAAAAAATGCTATCAAATGAAGCTGGCGATGACTTGAAAACATGAAAGTTGATACCATGAAAACTATTACATCTCACCAGTACAGATCATATTTGAGCATATCGAAAGAAACAAAATGAAGTAGATAAAGAAATCACCTCTTGGGTTGGATTCGGTCTTCTTCATAGTCCATCACTCCACCTGGTTCAGAGTAGATCTCCTCGACCCCTCGAAAGTCGATGTCTGCCCGCTTACAGTGTAACTTCTGCCACAACGTAAGTAAGCCACATCGACCAACATATCTTGATATTGAATAAGTGAATTCATGGCATGCTAATTCTTCATACAGTTAAAAGTCACATGCACCTTAACTAGGAAATTGCAGCTTTAAGCTCCAAACTTTGCTGTATACAGTTATATATGCAGTTTTGCAAGAATTAAAAGAACTACCTTTCACAGCATCACCAAGAAAAATTAATTAATTAATATAATAAAAATTAAGGGAGCCATGCCTTCTAATAGTCCAAAACTGAATTACAACAAAAGGGCAATCAATGTTAACAGGAAAACTGGAGTCAACCGACCTTGATGGAAATGGACTTCTTTACTTCTTCCACCCTATCTTCAACCTCCTTCAGATGTTTCTTGTCCAACTTACTCATAGTGTCAGCCCATTTTATCTTCTCTTGAATTGAGATAAGTAAGTCGTCTGACGTACCCAACCTAGGTTCACACCCGTAGACAGATGTCAGATGTATAAGCTGATATTTGATCAAATTTAACACTGCATTTCCATCGAGCTACTTCCACTAGCTAGCTCTAAGGAACAAAGCAAGAAGCTAATGTAAAATCAGACGGGAAAAAGTATCAACTAGGACTTCAGCATGGACCTTAAGGCACGCCTTACTAGAACTAGAGATTTTACCAGTTTGATAGTTTTTGTATCATGCACCCAAGTTGTCCCGGCCTCAAATCCCTCCCAGCAGCAAATTGGACCTACCATAACAAATATTAGAGAATTCAAAAAGCAAGAACAAAAGGAAATGAAAAGAGAAAAGCCTTAAATGGTAAGGAATCATACCTCAAAACACCTTCGCATCTGATCCAGCTTTCCTCTGACAATACCCTAACAAAAAGATTGAAAAAGAATGAACAATCAGTACACTTTCAGTCTAACAATGGTACTATTTGTTTCCCTCAAAAGTCAACCCTCCCTCTTAAAAGCACATTCCATGTCGAATGAAATTAAAGCATCAAATCCACAAGGCCTTCAAGGAAGCTGTTCCAGACTTCCAGTAGCTAAAGCATGTTATGATGGAGTAAATATTTGGATTAAAAAGGACTAAAGAGTTATGCAAGGAAACTACCTACCGCGTATATGCATTCACTGATAATAAAATCTTCAAGTTCACGGACATTTGTGATATCTAACTCCAGCATTAGTTGTTCGTATGGTAGGACCTGGAGAAGATATCTAATAAAAGTGACAAACTTGAAGCAACCAACATAGAAAACCTATAGAATAATTATCATAAAAAGATTCCCCACAAATATACAAATGTATCTCTTTCAATTAGGAAGGATAAACAGAATCCCAAAAATAAAATAAAATAAAAACTTTTTCAGGAGTCTAAAGAACTGGTTTCATCAATTCATGAAGTAAATTATATAAAAGTGGCATGATTGATGAATATCAAAACACATTATAACCACTACAGTGAAACTATACCAGAAAGTAGCATATTTACATGAGCCAATGCCTCATATCTCAGAGAATACCTTGTTTGCCTCAGCAAGTGTAAGGACAGTCAATTGCTTTAGCTTCAAAATTTGATCGGGGAGCAATTGAAGAAGACGACCAATATTACCTGGTTAAACAGTTTAACCAGCCAAAGTTAATCATATTATGATGAGCAGAAGAAAAATATGAACAATCAAGACTAAGAAATATATCAAGTACTTTAATTAAGCAAAAGGTATCCTACTGTCAACTGTGCCCGGAACAATAAACATAACAGACACTGTCAGAGCGAAGATAATAAAAGCAAGTAAGATAGAGAATATTGTTTGTTTGGAGGGGGAGCCAAATCACTAAGCCGGGCAATTGATTTTAATGTACTGCCTTTTGAATTACTACTCCATGAAATTTCCATTTGGATAATCATGTATAATATTTCCTTTCATGAGATTATCCGAATAATACTCTATACGTCATGATCATTTTCAGTAGCTTCTCTCTATTATCATCAATTTAACAGAAAAATTCCACTTAAAAAATCAAAATACTTAACATTTACAAAAGGCAAAAACATCTCTATATGACCACATTTCACGCTCAAATTCAACCAACAAGGTGAATAACACATTTAAACTCATTATTGCGCAGGAAGGGAACTTATGGTACAGGAAGGGAACAAGTGTATTGAATTCATAACAAAGTTCTAACCAAACAATCAATATAGGTTCCAACTTACTCTTGTAATCACTCCATGTACCATGTGCAAACAGCCGAAGAACCTCAAGGTACACTGAATGTTCAGTTCCTTCAAGCTGCAAGGTACATTGATTTCAAATGGCTATAATTTAAATTATGCATAACGCCAAAAAGAACTGATCAACAAGGAAACTAAGACGCCATGCTGTAGACAAGCAACATCTAATAGCAGACTAACCATGTAATTGTTTTGAAAGTGTAACTCGCTTTTGCAATTTATATATATAATTTCCCCATAAATCTGGTAAAGTTGAGCCAAATCTGAACATCATTGACTAATGAACAACCCTCAAATGCAAACTTAATTCAATTGAAGGTATTCCTCTGCTATTTATAAAAATCAAACAGCTAAAACAAGGTATACGTCAGGAGAATAGTGTACAAATATATCAATATCAAAAAAACTAATTTCCTAGCTTTTCAATCAATTTTTTCATCAACCAAATCGGGTGTTGCTTGTTTTCCTAGAATGAAGGGGGAGAAAGAGAGAGAATTAAATTGAGAATGGAATAGATTCAAACCTCAGCAACTGTGGGCACGGCAAGAATCTCAGAGAAGGCGAAGAGGAAAGGATGCGACGTCGCTTCGAGTATTACGGAGCCAAGAGCTGAGCCCACTTGAACTGACACTTTCTTCACGAAGTAATTGATTAACTCTGCTTGTTTTTGCTCGATATCCATCCTCAAAATTTTAACCCCCCAGAGCACACCAGAGAGGGGGGGAAAGGAACTCAAATAAGACAGTAGAAGAATGTTTTGAAATATTTACAGAGAAGACGAGGGGAAAGACGAGGGTTTGGTACTGGATTTAGCGGCGGGAAATCTTTGAATTGAAATAAAATAAAATACTGCAAAATTGTGGAATTTGTGAGATATGGTAGGTTTGAGAGAGAGAGGAATAGATTTTGAGACAGAAAGATCCCCGCTTTAGCTTCCCTCTGGATTTTGGCCTCTTTAGTAACAGATTTTGTTATATCTTATGTGATACTTCAATAAGTAATTTAACAATTACAAAAGTGTTTTTACGTGAAAAGAGAAAGAAGATGAAAAGACTGCAAATTGCTGATGTTTTCTGTATTGGCAACTTTCAGGCTACAAGATCACAGGTGTCACGAGGCTTTGACATTTTTAAGGGTTTGATGAAAACCATATATCTAACAAATTCATTGGATGCATTTATTAAGTATAAAATAATATCTTATTTTATTTTATTATTACTAAAAGATTATTATAAGGTAAAAGAGTTGAATCATTTTACAATAAGTTTTAAAAAATTCATACAAACGACGTGTTCAAACCTAAATCCTCTAAACGTAATAAATTAATAATCATCTCTTTAATCGGATCACTTGGTTTGCATAAATGCTAAAAAATTCCTTACAAACAACGTGTTCAAACTTAACTCCTCTAAACGTAACAAATTAATAATCATCTCTTTACTCAGATCACTTGATTTATATATTTTATTTTAGAGTGTGTTTGTTTACCTTTAATTGACTTTTTGAAAAACGTTTTTCTTATTTTCTAGTTCTTTATTGGTGGAATACTGATTATCAACACAATTCATTTTTCTTGTTAACATAATTTTTTTATATTTTTTGAAAAATAATTTACAGATTGATTTTTTGTAAGTTATTTTCTGAAATTTTTACTTAAAAGCATTAATACTCAAAATAATATCATTTTATAAATTTAATATTAATATACTATTTAATACCATTTTAATAAAAATATTATTTTTATATACTATTAATAGTTTTAATAATATAATAATATTTCTAGTATTATAATAATAATACATTAAATTATACTACAATAATATGCGATATCATATTTTTATTTTAATAATATATAATAAATTATTAGAATATATAAAATATATTTATTACTAATTTTTAAAATATGATATAAATTTTTTATTTTAATGTTATAATAATATTATTATTTTAATAAGTAATTAACATAATTAATAATACACTATTTTTATTTTAATAAATAATTAATATATTTTTTATTTTAATAAAATATTATAATCTTAATATTTTTATTTATAAAATTTTAGAAATAATATTTAAATAATAAAATTGATAAATAATATTAAATAAAATATTTCAGTATTTTAAAAATAATAATATTAATTATTTTCCAATAAATAATATTATTTATTATATTTTATATTTATAATAAATAAATTTATAAAAATTATCAATAAGTGAAAAATGATTTACATACATCATCCAAACACCGTAAAATGATTTCTAGAATTTGTTTTTAAAAAATATAATTTATTTTTCGCGAAACAAACGGACCGTTACTTGTAATTACTAAATATTGATCAATGATATATTATAAAAATATCTATTATAATACGAATCAAGCGATCTCGGTGGTTAAGAAATTATTGTTATTCCTAGAGATCCCGAATTCGAGCACCAGCTACTACAACATATTTGAGTGTTTATTGTTAAATAGTTAAGAATCTTTAAAGTAAATATTATCACCTAATCACCTTAAATTAATAAAAAAAAATTAAAAATATATATTATAAAAAATAAATCAATTAATGATTTTTGGTTAAAATAATATTTATAAAAGCATTAGATTTAGTGTTTTCAATTATAAATAAGAAATAAATTTGATTCAGTTAATTAAATTAAATTAATTTATAATATTTATATTATTCGATTTAATTATTATTTATATACATTAATTTAGTATACAAAACATTTATTTTATGTTCATATGATCACTTGGGATATCTTATTTAAGTTGGTTTTGAAAATTAATTTAATTATGAGTTTAAATATTTAAAATAAATAACATTTATAGGGCAAACTATTTTGATGCGTGTAAATGAGTCCCAAACTCGAAGCCCGCTCGGCCTCTAATGAATTTGTTTGGACTCAATGTCGTAACCACGAAATATCAAACCCAAATGATATCTTCGTTAGCTAGACCGACTCCTTTGAACCCGGCACGTGCTAGAGTCCATCGAAGATGGTCGTTTTTTGGGTAGATTATTATATTTTTGGTCTGACCGATTTTGATACTCAATTCAAAAAAAGAGTGGTTACGGTTCTGTACGTTATTGGTTCATTTGATTTTAACTCTTTCATCGTTAATTCTCGTTCATCCCTTAATTAAAGTATTACGTGATAATTAAAAAAATCCACATGTTTCTTCTTCTTCCTCTTACCCACTCACACCTCAACCTCCTACTCCTCTTCACTCTCTTCTTCACGTCCCATACATCACAACCTCCTAATCATCTTCATTCTCTTTTCTCTGTTCTTCACGTCCAATGCAAGGCTAGCCCTCGTCCATTCAGACTCAAAAGTTCTTTTCACACCATTGTTAATGACCTAGGCATCAATAGTCAACGCTTCCCTACCACTAATCCACGTGTCATTCTTCTTCTTCTTCCATAACCAGCAAATTATTGTTTGAATTTTGCTGCTGAGCAAGATAAGGTTGTTGTAGAAAAATGGCTACCTGAACTTAGATTTGCAGTTTTGAAGGCTTGGATGACTGCAAATACGTGAGGGGTTTGATAAGTAACGACATTATCGTTTTGCTGGCCATATCATTACATATCAAGCAACTTTTGATCCAAAACATATCCATAGGCATAGACTGCTAGTTTTGCTTTGGCTATGGAACTTTGGAGGAGTTACTGGAAGTCATGGAGCTCATTTGGGTATTCATGACAAGCATATAAGCAAAATGATCTGCTTAATATTTTTGTTGCCAATATCGAGAAAAAGAAGCAATACCTCTCTTTTGAAAGTTGTAACCTAACCCTTTTTTTTTCTTTTCCAAAAGGTGGGTTTGCTTAATGTTGAGGGCTATTATAAGTATTTATAACTATTTACTTACTTTTATCCATAAAACCGTAGAAGATGGCTTTATTAAACCTTCCCAACGCCATATCTTTGTCTCTGCACCAAATGCTAAAGAACTGGTTCAGATGCTTGAGGTAATTAAGTTATCCTTTTTAAAGTATTGGTTTGCTTCAAAAATATATATAAGATATATAGGATACGGTGCTTTGAATCAGTGTAACATTAATTGGGGTTGGTTCATTATTGTCATCAAAGCTTTGTTTGCTCAACAATGACAAGGTTCATACATGGAATACACAATCTGGAGGTTTAACTTTAGACAAGCAATCTTTTTAAGATTACTACATTGGTGTTTCCGGTTTCTGTGTTTGTCAAACCGCTTCACGCTTCCATCTCCCTTGGTTATTCATTATTTATTCACGAACCACCGCCCATAGATCCTTCATCCTTCTCTTTCTGAATTTGCTTCCCGTGCCGGAACTGAATTTGCCCCCACCGGTCCCTTAGTGCCGTTTCTGAATTTTCAGTTTCGTCTCCTGCCGACTCCCCCGATTTCAACGATCCGTCGGCTAACACTTGTTGCAGAGATGGTGAAATTCCGGTTCTTTTCCGATTTCTTTTAGCATAATGGATAAATCTGACACTTGTTTATTTCAGTCTACTGCAGCATTGAGGAGTGAAGAATGTACCATCAACTGTTTGGACTTCCACCTGAAGAGGTGGGTGTCTTTACTCTTTAATCTGTCTCTGTCGTGATCACTTGCTGTTAGCAATTTTCTACATATCTCCATTGTATTTTGTGAGCATTCTTTGGTTTGTAATGTGAAAATGTTGTTCGTGGTTGACGTTAAAGAGAGACTGCCAGTTGAAGGTAAGAAGTTTTGATCATCTGAACTTTCATGCAGAACATGAACCAATCCAAGTATATTTTATTTTGTTTTTTGTCCAAGATGTGGAAATGCTTGTTCATTTTTTCCCCTCTCCTACTTCAGATTCTAAAGAATATTTCATGTCGTATTTAAACATTTTCTCTGAATTTGGAAAGAAATGAGTGTTTGTAGTCTTTAGTCTATTCATGATCTCAGGTCAACAATCCTCTCATTTTCTGCTTTTTGTTTGACAGTCTTTGCTTGTAAATTAATGCATTTGTAATCCTGATTAACACGATAATGAAATATTGCATTTAAGGGAAGTGCCAGAAATCAAATCTTTCTATTCACTTTTGGCCATGCATATTAAATCACTCTTAATTTGACATTTCTAACCAATTATATTTAGACTTGTAATGTTATTAAAGGAAAATTTTCTTTTGCCCTTAGCTGCAGTTCCTTGTTCAAGATTTCAACTGTGCACTCCAAGAGAGTATTCTTTTCAAGAAATCTACGTCTTTATAATGAATGACCTTTACTAGTCTGGTCTGGAAGTTGCATGCTTAATTTCTTTTACTCTGCTGCATCTTGTAACTTTTGCATTGCAAATCGCCTTATCTCACTTTTGTCAATCTGTGGAGTTTCCGGATTGACGACGTTGTAAACGATTATTTGGTGGCTCTAGGTGTAATTATGTTCATTTCTCTAATCATCAGGTATTATATGCTTTTCGCAGGGTCACATGTACTTGTTTGTTCATTTTATTTGCTTTTATTCCAATATGTTTGGATTTGATACAAAATTATTATTTGAACATTGATTTTATTCTTAGTTTGTTTCCCTGTGTCCTTCTTGGCAGCTTTTTTAAGCTTTACGTGATAATGATACGACCATGGAATATTTTATGGGTTTCTGCAGAAAATATTCTCTTTCAATGAGATTATAAGTGTTGAAAGAGCAAAGATTGCAGGGATCTTTTCAAATGAAATAGAAATTTTTGCTGGAGGAAGTAAGGTGATAGGGCTTGACATTTATTGTTTGTTCCATGTAAAGAGGCATGCATTAGTTCTTCTATCCACTCTACTTGTTGACTTGGCAGTACTTTGCATTATTCCCATCTCGTGATGAAGCTTTCAAACTCATTAATGATGGTAATGGAGGCAAATAAATTACAGAGCAGCAG